GTGTGTGTAGACAGTGTACAATTTATAGACAGGACAGATACCAATTTCCAAATATTTGTACGTGGTTTAGATCAAAATCGATGTTTGACGCAGAGTCTTTCTCAACTCCATGTTTGTCGTAGTAATAGGAATAGTACAGGGCCACTAGTCTCAAATCTCTTTTTCAACCGTTACTCACTACAACGCTCTCTTCTGGAGTTGTATGTTCTTTCTCATCCTCACTTGATTTTCATTTTCATCAGGGGCATTTACCTCGTCTTCAGTGTTGTGACGAGTAATAAGGTGGAGGTGTCTCGACCGCTTAGTAGGTGGCTTTGACGCTGTGTATATACACTTGTACAGCCAATGTTTGTTATTATTTGGCATGGTATGTTACATTTGATTGTGTTTGTTTCTGAGAGTGTCAGCAATTTCTAATGACCCACCACATCACAACTTCACATTGGGTCACCTATATTTCTGACACTGGCCACTCTTGTTGACTATGAACCCTTATATTGCAATTTTGGAATCCTTGCCAAAAGCGAAACAGAATAAATATAAATGACGAAATGGGAAATCCACTTTATTTTTCCCACACACGGCCATGATACACCCTCTACGAGACTACTACTAGAGAGTTCCATCAGGCACTTGTTTTAGACTCCTTAGTATAGACTCTAGAGAGAGACTACTACTAGAGAGTCCCATCAGACACTTGTTTTAGACTCCTTAGTATAGACTCTAGAGAGACTACTACTAGAGAGTCCCATCAGGCACTTGTTTTAGACTCCTTAGTATAGACTCTAGAGAGATACTACTACTAGAGAGTCCCATCAGGCACTTGTTTTAGACTCCTTAGTGTAGACTCTAGAGAGAGACTACTACTAGAGTCCCATCAGGCACTTGTTTTAGACTCCTTAGTACAGACTCTAGAGAGAGACTACTACTAGAGAGTCCCATCAGGCACTTGTTTTAGACTCCTTAGTATAGACTCTAGAGAGAGACTACTACTAGTGAGTCCCATCAGGCACTTGTTTTAGACTCCTTAGTTTAGACTCTAGAGAGAGACTACAACTAGAGAGTCCCATCAGGCACTTGTTTTTGACTCCTTAGTATAGACTCTAGAGAGAGACTACTACTAGTGAGTCCCATCAGGCACTTGTTTCATTCTCCTTAGTTTAGACTCTAGAGAGAGACTACTAGAGTAGAGAGAGAGTGTGTGTATAAATATAGTCTTGAGAGGCTTTTGTACTAAATTGTGAGTGAGCCTCTGTAGACTGTAGTAGTCGTAAAATAGTAAAAAGAGGGTCACAAATATAAAAATCGCATTTGATTTTTTTTTCCTGTGGATGTCTGCATAGCCTACTAAATTAAACAGTGTTTGGGTGATGTATATATACATATTTGTTTAAAAAAAAGAAAAGTACAGTATAGGATATTTTGTATCCAAATTAGGATATTGACGAACATTTTCATTATTTTTAGCTTTGCTTCGAATACTACCGCCAGACGCGCAGCTATATCAGTTGATTATGTCGTATACGTATGCCGAGTTTGTGTAGACACATGCCGTATTTCAAAGATGCCGAACTCGAAAATGGCGACTAAAGGCTGTGCTAAAGTATCGCCAGTAGTGTCGCCTAAAGTGAAACCAAAGGACATGTTCTCGTTGGGGACAGAAGAATCAAACCGAGGTCATTTTAACCTCGGAGTTAGTGAAACGTCTAGCAGTTCGAGTAAAGGAAACGGAGGATTCCAGTTAGGCGAAGAAGAAAATTCACAAAGTTCAAAAGGAAAATTCTTCACGTGTATGTACCGAAAATATTCATGTCGAGTTGTATGTGTTTGCTATACAATGTCGCTTAGATTTTCACGTGCTTTTTATTTATTTCATATTTGCTATTCATTGGATTTTCATGTGATCATTTATTTTCATATGTGCTTTTCATTTATCACAATGTTTAGAACATAACAGGATACAGCTGAATGTGTGTACAAGTACTGATGTAACATACTTGTGTACTTGCCCACAGCTCAATGCTATTGTCTGGAATTACCTATCGTCGAGTTTACTCTTTGTCTATATCGACGCACGCGCACAGTTGTTTCCTTATATCTAAATGTAGGGTGCATATTCGCTATATCCATAACAAAGGTACCGATTTGAATCGGCACATCTGATGGAAATATTATGTTTTACCCCTATATCAACTTGACGTTTCATCTCAATATTGACAGGATTATACAGACCGTAGTCTTGTAGGCCGGTTTGCCATTATGGTAATATTATACAAACGGATGTATATTTGCAATGCAAGCACAGAGTTGTGTACTTTCATTTAGGTATATGAATATATAATCACACTTAAGGAGCTGTGATATACACAAACGCACACACACACACACACACTCACACACACACACACTCACTCACTCATATATATAAATATATATAAATATATATTTATATATATACATACATACATACATACATACATACAT